TGTGTGTGTGTGTGTGTGTGTGTGTGTGTCTTCAGTGTGCGAGAGTGTGTTTTTTATTCATCATTTTCTTTCCATCCAGGGATGCTTTTACTGACCTGGCAGTGTGTTTTGAGATCAATGTCAGACAGAATAAATAAATCTTGGTCAATCAAAATACTTTTAAGGTGCATATTTTATGATGATTCAAAGTCCGGTTTCAGCATGTGTCACGTTTGATATGCTCCTCAGCACCAGGAGCTGACTCACAACCCCAAGCCATTGAAAAGGCTCCATTGTGTTATAAAGATGTTTGTAAACACTCTGATAAATTCTTCTGAAAACTGAAGCAAATTTATCAACAATTTMAAATTTAAATCCATTGCTTCACCTGATATGGCTGATTGTCACTTTAATTATTGTGTTAATTTATCATACAGTCAGTCTTTCACACAACAACAACTTTATGATTGCTGACTTTCCACTGAGATCAGCGACATTGTGTGATCTTTGGCACTTTTTATGGATTCAGCTGTAAATTTGAGGCAAAGATTTGGTTTTTGTGCCAAAAAATGTGTCTAAAATTCAGTTTCAGTTATCTATTACAACTTGATACTGGCCCATCCCTTGAGTTATCCAATGCATATGTCCGTGTAAAGTGACATAACAAAAGAAGGGTTAAAAATGTATTACATTGCTAATTGATTCTTCATTTTTTGTGTCTTCTCTGCTCATTCACAGCTGTCCGAAAAAAAGACTTTGCCAACATGACCGGCTTGTTACATCTGACGCTATCAAGAAACACCATCAGTCAGATTCTTCCATCAGCTTTCAGTGATCTGCGGCGACTGCGGGCTCTTCATTTAGACTCTAATAGATTAACTGTGATCAAGGTATGATCACTGAGTGGAATAATAAGGATTGTTAACTGGTTCTACTACAACAAATGTTTCACAGCATAGTAGATGCATTAGATATCTGAGGAGGATTTTCCTTATTATAACATATTCATATATCTCACTGTCTGTTCCCCTTTCCAACCAGGATGACCACTTCAAAGGTCTGACTAACCTCCGCCATCTGATCTTGGCCAATAACCAGCTTCACTCCATATCCCCTCATGCCTTTGATGACTTCGTATCTACTTTAGAAGATCTAGATCTCAGTTACAACAACCTTGCCCATGTCCCCTGGGACACAATTGGCCGTCTAACCAATGTCAATACCTTGAATATGGATCACAACCTCATAGAAAATGTTCCCCAAGGAGTATTCACAAATCTGCACAAACTGGCGAGGTAAAGACACGGAAATGAAGAGATTAACTTTTCAGAAACTGAAAAAAATGACCTTATCTGGTTCTTTATCTCTCCCTCTCTATTTTTTTTTTCTTTTTCCATTGTACCACTTGTCAAACACTTCTTTCCTCCTTTCCCATTCTTTATTAGGCTGGACATGACATCAAATAAACTAAAGAAAATTCCACCAGACCCACTGTTTCTTAGGATCCCAGTATACGCCAAGTCTAAAGGCTCCCCGCTCTCCTCTCTTGTGTTGAGTTTTGGTGGTAATCCTCTCCACTGTAACTGTGAACTTCTGTGGTTAAGAAGATTAACCAGAGAAGATGACCTCGAGACATGTGCCTCTCCCCCTGATCTCAGTGCCAAGTACTTTTGGACGATACCTGAAGAGGTCTGAGCTTTTTTCACTTTTATCCACTTTTGCTACTCTGGAGGAATAAGACCATTATAAGCATGTTTAAAATGTTTGATGCTCTCCTGTCTGTTTTGTTTTTTAGGAGTTTATTTGTGACCCACCCGTACTGACCCGAAAGTCACCTCATACTGTTGCTATGGAAGGCCAGCCTGCCAGTTTAAAATGCAAAGCCAATGGTGACCCTGAGCCTGAAGTCCACTGGATTAGCCCTGAAGGACGACTTATATCTAACACCTCCAGGTATCAAAACTATCTGATACTCAAAATAAAATGGTACAGTATATTGTATGTCCATACATTTAATTWAATTTAATTTATTTTTTATTAAAGTCCACCTGAGATCCCCTTTACGAATTTAGTTAGATCAAATGTTCAACTCTTTAAAAACATATTTTAAAAATAGTTATTGAAGTCAGCATCTCCTCAACTGTAAGACATTTTTTATTTTCAGATGATAATCAAGTTGCGTTATTTTTTAATAAATATTTTTAACTATTTCATGCAACATCCACTATGAGAGCATAATGTCACAGCATTTTTTTTCCTTTACATGCTTGTGCTTTTGCGATTTATTTATTGTAAAAAGGCATTATCTGTTTGTTTTTTTCCAATAAGGTCAATGGATAAAACATACAATCAGTTGGTTAAATGAGCCCTCTGTCACACAGTTATTACAATAATTCTGAATAGATTGTAGGTGGATGCTTCTGGCAAAGGTTGGCATTATCAAAATGTACCGAAGGCAGCAAAGTACATATTTGACTAAATGGATTAGTGAGTTGAACACTGATTAGGAATTGGCCCCACTGTAAGTGATATAGAATGAGGGCTTATGGAAATGAGAAGAAATCAATCGGTCTTGTCAGGGTCCATATTAGAACGTATTACAAGCAAATCGTTACCTCGCTCGTGTTTGGAAAAAAAATCATGTAGAGTAGGTCCCAGAACTTATTTGGTTTTCTTTTTTTGTTGTTTATCTAGAGCAAAAAATATGATACTGTATTCATAGTGTCAACCTGTACACACAGAAACCAAGATGAATTTTACTTTGTTTTCATTTTATTTCAAATTTATATCACATTATTGGCTACGAAATCCACTGTGTAATTGGTAAAATAAAAAAGGCCTGAGGTTTGTTTTTGTTTTTATAAATTTTTGACTTTTGAAAAAGATTTAAAATTTCACTTTTGCAAATCTTGAAGTTTTTTTTTTTCTTTCTTTCTTTTCTGGAAAACAACTCAAACAAACAAAACAAAATGAAACGGTGAAAATGTATTTTATACCTTGTCTTCACATTGTCTCAATGTCCTTTTATTCCAGAACCTTAGTTTTCCCCAATGGGAGCCTGGAGATCAACATCACATCTGTGAAGGATTCAGGAAACTTCACCTGCATCGCCTCCAATGCAGCGGGCGAATCCACAGGAAGGGTGGAGTTACTTGTAACAGCAGTGCCTCATCTTGCGAACAGCACAAGCCGCAGCCGGGATCCTTCTTCTGAGCCCGCTCCCTCTGACATTCTAACCTCCTCCAAGGTCGCACTGCCTAACAACGAGACGAGGGGGGCAGACAGGAGGGTCTCATTGGTGGAACTCACTGGGAACTCGGCCCTCATTAGATGGAACAGTCAGACGCCTACAACTGGAGTCAGAATGTTCCAAGTCCAGTACAACAGCTCTGGGGATGACACGCTGGTTTACAGGTCTGTCCATCTGTTTATGCTTTTATTTTATTTTATTTTTTCAAAAAGCATTTCAATATTTATATTGTTTGCATAAGTCAGAGTGTGCATGCAGCTGTCCATTAGTGATCTGGGAGACATTAGCTACTGCTGTGAGGAAAGGGCCAGCTGATACAAACTAGAGATTAGCTTCCAAAGTSGTAAAAGTTAAATTAGCTGAAATGATAAAGACATCTGCAGTGCAACAGATCCATTGCTGGATTCGCTGAATATAAGGAAACCAGGGCCAAATGAGAAGAGTCTGCGGAAAGTTTCAGCTCAACTTGGCTTTCTGTGGAACTGATTAATGCATGTGTGTGTGTGCGCACGTGTGTGTATGCTTCTGTTAGCTTATGGGGACAATTTTTGACCAATTTCTCAGTACCGTACATACAGCCTTGTGAGGACTCACTATTTCTTGTGAGTACCTGGTACCCTGGTACCCATTGTGAGGAACACCGTTGGGTGGTCAGGAGATAGGGTTAGGACTGAGGTGTGAATTGAGTTTAGGTTAGGTTAAGGGTTAGGTATGTACTGGGGTGCTTAAGGTTAGAGTAAAGCATTAGGGTTAGGCTATAGAAATGACCAGAMAATGAAWGGARGTCAMTGCAAAGTCCCCATAAGGATAGAACAAGTATCTGTRTGTGCACACATGTTTGTGTTTGATAGTTGTGGGTTTTTATTGTAAGCGTTTGTGAATGGCAAATGTCCCTGTTATGASTGAGTTGAGAGCTGCTTCCTTAAAGTTTACCTCAGAAAAAAGAAAGGCACTGTTTCAAAGCTCAAAGCTTTTTCTATTTCTTTGGATAAATATTAGAACTAAGTTGCGCCTTGCAGCAGTTACTGATAAAAAAGCATGGCTAACTACTTTCAGAAAACTTGTAAACTTCTGTTTTCTTTGAGAATTCTAAAAAAAAAAAGTCTATACAAAAGAGAAAGCACTGTCAAATTCATTGCCCAAAAATCTCTGAGAAAACTGTTGGGAGTCCTCTTTATTTCTAGTACTGAATTATTATTTTTGTTTCTTGTTTTTTGGCTATTTAAAACGTCATGACAGCAAGTAAGGGAAATTGTTTCTTGAAATTATCACTGTAAACGTAAGGCAAACTTTATGTACTTTTTCCAAACTGCTGAAGTTTGAAACAAAGGACAGATAATTAAGTTTTTTGTGATTACATCAGAAATTCAGCTTTCATTCATTTTGATGTGAACAAAAACAACCAAAAGAAACCTCTACAATATCAGATTGTTGGCTTTCTTTTTAGCAGAATAATACAGATGTTTATTCAGAAAGTTTGGCTGACTATGGAGAGACAGTTGCAAATAAGGCAAATGTTTACCTGCACAGCATCTGTCCATCTGCTTCTGACCGGCATCATTTGGGGCAATTCAGCTACACAGTAGTCTTGTTACTGAGTTAATCTGGAACTGTGTTTTTATGTGACATATGAATTTTATGAAAAATAAATATACACACAGTGAAAAGTTTGATGAGGAGCTGCAGGTAGCAGGATGCACACCTTCACCTCTGAAGGCGAGATAACAAACTTTATTCTGCTCTCTGTGGAGGACATGTGGACCGCGTGGAGCAAGAAATCATTCTGTAATTGTTTTTCAACTCTGTGGTTTTATTTACACGCTGTGCTTGTTTGGTGGTGGGAGCRTTCTGTGGTTGTAACTGTGCTGAAGTAGCTGCGTTTGGTTGGAGTAATAAACTACACTCGCTGCAGTTACGGCAAAAAGGTCACTTCTTTTAACACTGAGGTTAGACTCCACAAAAGTGGTGTTGCCGCATACCTTCTCATATCATGAATAAAAATCATACACTAAACTACATATTTAATCGAAACAAACAAAATACAGTTTATAATTCACATGTAAGTAAGTATTTTTATGTAATTAAATATAATGACTCCATCTTTATGTTAAATATATATATTTTCATATAGGTCTATTTTTTCACGTAAGATCATTGCTGAATCATAAGGCTTTTAAGACAGATATGGTCACATGGGATTAACATTCATTAGAATATATTAACATAACACCAGCTCAGTTCTAAGGAAACAAGATAAATGAAACTGTCCAATGTGTGCGTGTTTGTGTGTGTGTGTGTGTGTGTGTGTGTGTGCAAAAATGTGTGCAGTTCTACTCTTCTATCTTTCTTTGCTGAATATCCATTAAGAGGGCTGAGGTGCAATGAAGAGAGGAGAGGTGGGGGCGGAGAGCAGAGATGAAGGTACACAGGGTTGACAGGAAATGGATGTGGAAAACAAGACTAATGCTGCAAGGAGAAACCGTTTGAGCTCGGTGTAATTATTCAGCTGCGTATTTGTAATTTTGATTTTGTTTTAATCAAGCAAAACTTATTAAAACAACTCATTTTCACATTTGTGTAGTTAATAATTAAAGGYAATTTGTAGGTACGGTGGAAGGATTAAAAGGAACAGTAGGGTATGAAATTGGGCTTTGTAGAATGCTTATGAACTATTAATATCTTACATATTGTAGATTGCTCTTTGAACAATCAGAGTTTGGAGGAAAATATCTTAAATCTGATTGGATTAACAGGCTAGTGGCTAGTCAGAGAAGGGTCAAGACTGAAGGGTTCACTACTACCTTAAAACTACTATAATTGCAATAGGAATATATTTTTATTTCTTTATTATTTTACTTCTTCAAATGCTTCCCATTTTTTATTTATTTATTTATTTATTTATTTATTTATTTTTTGCTTCACAATGTTGGTAGAAATAGAATATTGCAGTCAGAAGTGCTCCACTTTCGCTATGTTTTTGCAAATGACCACAAAATTGTAAAAGTCTAAGCAATGTGAAACAGGAAATGAAGTTATAAAGACATGAGCTGTATGAAAGAATAAGGCTTAGATTGTTTTAGAACAGAATAGAACAATTCTAGTCCTCAAGGGCYRCAGCCCTGCATGTTTTACTTTTTCCCCTACTCAAACACAGCTGATTCAATCATTGTCCAAGTTCTGCAGAAGTCTGAAAATCATCCATTCATTCAAATCTGGTGTGTTGGAGCAGAGAAACAAGTAAAGTGTGCAGCGCTGTGGTCCTCGAGTGGCCTTCTGTAAACTGTATCAGGATTTAAGCATTTCATATCCATGTAGGGATCACCTCGAGTTAAATTATCAAGGAAACTGTCTTGGACTCAGTCCTCTGATGGGCCTGTAAGGGACAAAACATCTGTTTCACTTAGAACTGAATTTAGGCCACCTCAGGTCACCTTAACCTTTTAAAGAGACATTCTCTTCCTTCTAAATCAGATAATAAACAGAAGAATCTTCGTCTTATTTTATTTATTATTCTCTTAACTGAAAGTATTACGCATTTTGATAATCAGAGAATGTTTATCAAAGTTACAGGAGAAGAGAGGACAGATCTCTTTTCTCCCTCAGTATGATTTCAGCTATGTATGGTTTTTCTGTGGAAAAAATCTTATTTCACTGAAATAATCTTAATGGTTGAAAATTGATAAAATATCAATATTTTACTTGTCTGAATCATATTCGCAAATGTTTTGAACTTGAAGCAATTCATTTGTCTTTCAGTTATGTTTTTAAATAAGTGCTCATCAGATTATTAAATGGGTCATGAAATGTTTTCTTCTGAACCACACAGCAGCAATAATCTTTGTTTAGTTTCAGGAGGAGACGGTAAGTTCTGAATCTAACACTTTTCTTGATATAACTTTACTAATCTAACCTTCTGGAGGGCGGAACTTAGATTCTCTAAGCTTCTTAGTAACTAACAGTTTCCGCCCGGACCGTAGTAAAGTGACGGACCGCCGTCAGTCACTTTTGACAGCTAGATTCTCTTCGAGGAATCAAAAAGCTGAAAACTGTGTCAGGTTTGGCCCCTTCATCGCCAACGGGGAAACCTCACAGTGTGGAAAACCAATGCCTGGTTTATCCACTTCAGAAACTATCCAGACGGAAGTTTTATTTTGAAGCCTCGGTTTCCAATTTGGGGTCGCCTTCTACCTACGGCTTGATGCGGACCCAAGCAGTCTGAAAAACACGCCTTGGGGTTCCCTGTTTGAGGATCTTGAAGATGGATTCACCASCAGCACCCCCGATACCTGGAAGGTGACCGAAAATCATCTTTAAGGTAAAAAGCTGGCTGTGTGTGTGACGTCGATGTCTGGCTGACACCGAGTAGAATGCTTTGCCCTTCTGGTTAAACCCCACATTATTTAAGATAAAGTATAAGAAAGCTAACACCTTACTTTCCTCCTTTTCTTAAAGTTTTCCTTGTCAACCCTTAAATAATTGCCTCAAATTGTCTGGTATCAAACATCAAAGCTAGACGTTTGTGTTCTATTTAAGTGTTTATTGACAATTTAAGAAGCTAGAAGCTTGTTATTGTCGGTTCTAAACTTTTATACGAAACTGATTGCCACAATTAAGTGTATTTAGTGATTCTGTATGATTTGTAAAATAAATGATCTCAGTATTTATGGATCAAATCAACACTCACTGACTGAGTCTCACTTCTTGTGTGTCCATTCATTTTGCACTAGAGGAATATTTACCCAAACTAAAAGAGATCCCTTGCTAAATGAATTACTCTTATAACTTTGTTATAAGAAGTGTAAAACTGAACCCTTACAAAATGAATTCAATATGAATATTTTTATTATTATTCTTTTATCGCTTAGAAATAAGGACCAGGAGGAAAAAAAAGACTGATTAATCTATCAAACTGGTGATGTGACCTTTCCACAATTTTAAGCAGTCATGAGGCACAGTGGGGAGACATGAAACTGCTACTGCGCATGTTACTCAAAGGGTTGTTGCTACCTCACCAAAGAGTGAATGAGTTAGATGAGAGGCTGAGCTGCTAAAGCCTTTCTTCTGTCTACATCCCCCAGAATACCATGCAGTCGTGGATCAGAGTTTAGCGAAATTACCAACATTCTATCAGATTTTCTATTGACATTGATCATATATA